CGATTACGGTGATATCCGCCAAAATGCTCCCTGGGGTTAGATTAATTTTAAGATAGCAGTGGTTCCCGCATCCTGCAGCGTATGTCTTCCGTCCTGCCGTGATAAATTGTACATCGCGCGCGCGCACGTTCTTCAAACAGTTTTATTGGAATACTCGAATGGCACGAACTCCATTTTACCGTAATTATTATTGTTATTCTAATCGTTTTCCGAATACATTTCATTGCGAAACGACAAGTGGGCAAATTACGTGCCGCTGTTTTGCACTGCAATGTATAATGATTCCGATAAAGGATCATGCATTGTTCGCTTTGATGCTCACTGTTCGCGTTTGAATGGATTTTTTTATTTCTCTTGACGAATATTCATTTTAATTTTTCGTCTTCTCCATCGTTTTGGATATTATCTCGAGTCCGAATAAAAAAGAGCAAAAACGTGGTGAAAAAAGAAACGTTACACGGAACAGTCCAATCATGTTTTGATTATACTGCGATTACGCTTACGGTGGATAAACCGGTTTTTTTACGAATATATCTGCAGTATTAAATTATTGACTGACATAACAATATTAGTTCACCCGTGATCCCAGACCAAAGAATTAATAACCGAGGTCTGTGGCCTGACTCACTCTGGACGAGAGTCCACCTAGACTTCCCAAGAAGACAACCCGACACATGTAATCGAATATAGATAAGTAAATGGCTGAGCCCGTAAGTTCGTGGAACCCTGAGGTCGAAATTTCCAACCGATGATATTATCATCTAAACGGAGGAGAAAACGGTACCACAGGTGGCGGAAGCCCTATCTGACAATGTACAACAGGACAAACTTTTGATAGGATACCCTTCGAGAAACTTAGGCTTCGTGATGGTTGTTGCAATAACAATTAATATGATTAACAGACGAATGTTTGTCTAGGCAAAAGTTCCTGGTGATGGCTACTTACCGGTGTGGCACAATGTGGGAGGGTGAAACTTCCTGAATCTCTCGGAGACTCGGCTACTTTACCAATTGAAGTAAAAGACACTGGAGGTTGTTCGTAGCCAGGAACGGACAGATGGAGTATATCCCTCGACCTGACCAAAGTGACTGACGGGACATGAAATCCGTGATTGTATGGTTCGAGATCTTCGTCGCAGAGCGATGGTGATACCCCGAGGCTAGTGGCCCCCCTGACAAATCGATATACGTCGAAGCGGCTTGTTGCTCCGAATATCTCGAACCTTTGCGGTTCCAGAGTTAATATATGGTGCATAGTTATAGGCGAACACTTGTGTGACTCACGAAACATAGAGAAAATCCGTATCATAGCATTAGGTATATTACTGTAAAGTGTAGAATGATTCATACAAGTTGTAAATTAAAAATTATATATTTAAAATGTAATCAGTACCAGTGAAAGAAAAAAAAAATATATTTAAAAGATTGTTTAGGTACTCGTTTTTATTTTAAAAATGGACTATTATTGTACAGCAATAATAGTATTAAGACATTATTTCATTGATTGATATTCTATTCATTATTATACTTTTTTTAATATTATTGAAATAGGTGTATATATATAAAATATGTACATATGAGACACTCGTTAAAATACTTGTAACATGAAATGTATGAAAATATTAAGGTTGTTCTCCTCATGCCATATCACGATATATTATTAAAATATTATATTGAAAAAAATTAATAGTTACGTTTACAGCTGTTATATACTCACTTGTCATAAGTTCGATTGCCAAATATGGAGTAGATATATATGTCGGTATATATGTAGTAAATATGTCGGTAATAACGACATTCTCCGCATTGTATAAATAAGTATTGTATTCCTTCAACTCAATCACTGTTCTTTTTTCCACGCCATTACATGGTTTGGTTTTTCATGCCACAAGTGGACGGGCATTTTATCGATTTGTCGAGCGTATATATTGCCTAGTATCAAAGGCTATACATAGAATGACTGACGTGTGTTCAATGGTCATTTTTACTTTTATTTTTCCTACTCTTTGTCTGTTCTTGACAACGGTCAATTATTTTCAATTACCCAAGTGTTTACCACCGATCGCTGCTCGTCTTAAATATTACGCAATTACGAGGAAAAATGCACACAAACATTATCACAGTGGAAACGACAGTTACAGTTGAGATGTATTCCAAAACTCTGTTGTATCGTTATTGTCAATACAACAAAATCACAACGTTATCAACTTACGACAAGACCGAAGTTTGTTTATGAAACTTTTGTAAAACAATATTATATAATAATTGTAAAAAAGTTTTTAAAAATTTCTATTTATACTAATCGTGTATTATAACTTCAAATTTTACATTTAAAAAACATTTAGAATGCAGCAACATTATTGGATTAATAAACAATGAGACAATAGTTTCCATTGTTGTATTTATAGAAATATTGATCAGTAAATAATATATATATATATATATATATATATATATATATATATATATATATATAATATACAATAATAATACACGAGTAATTTTATAGTACGTTTACCCATGGCTATATGATCGGATTTGTTTTTTAAAAATATAAGTGGTCTTCCATAATATATTCTCAATTAAGGTCTTTAAATATCACTTATATTTTGAACAAGACAATAATTTCTTAATTATAATACATCAGTCTGGCGATAATGTTCACCGTGAACACACACATTTGCATTCACTCTGTTATCTGAATTTTAATTATATAAATCGTTTTTATCAGTTGTTTGGTTTTAAATGTATTTAATACTATGGTTCCTTTCGTTAAAATTCTGCCTCGCACTCCTATGTTATCTAGACGAATATTAACCAACAGTTAAATTTTTCCTCTTCATGAGAGGGAAAAAATACATTTACTTCACCTAATCGTTTCGTTGTTCTCTCCTCAATCAAAATTCATGATGATACCCTGTTTTATGCGGTTCCATTTTCCTGTGAGGACACCGTCGTATATTCACCTAACTCCTCGGACCTGGTGGAATCTATTGCTCTACCTGTTTACATAAGAAATATCGTAAACTTCTCCGCATTCAAGAACGTATTAATTAAGAACACTACTCCTAATGGCTTTACGTGTATGTCAACTCATTCATATCATATTGTCCATGCCAGTGGTCGTGATAACTTCAACGTGATAGCTACTCATTTTATGGAAAATAATGCCAGTTTAGACACTTTTTGTCCTCTCTATATGGAAAAATATTTTCCACATTGTTAGATGAAGAACACATAGTGAAACAAGCACACAAAAACGAATAACCTTCCTCTTCCAAATTTTTTGGTAATCTTGAATGCAATAATAAAAACAGCCAAATCATATCATCATATCATATCAAATCATATCCATATCATCATTTCATTACTAAATACGGAAATAGTAATAACAAAATCAAATAAAAATACGGTCTACTTAACTGTCAACTGTTAACTGTTTACTACCAAAACTATGGTCATACGCAAAATTACTTTCATCACCCATCTCGCTGCATCAAATACGATAAGGGTCATGAGCCAGATAGCTGTACCAAGGATCGCTCTAAGAATCCAATATACACTGCACCATGGATCATCATATGGTCTACTTCAGAGGTTGCCAGTTCTACCAATTAATTCTAAATCGTCACAAATTCAAGTTCAATTCAACTCCTACAATAATACCTCTCAGTCTAAAAACTGAATCTCCGACTCCTTCCCCAATAACCCTTCTCAATTTATCTCGTCATATGACTTTGTTACTTCTGGCTCTAAGCCGAACATAAATACACAAATTTTAAATTTAAATTTAGCTTTTTCAACGTTTCTCTTTGAATATACCACTATTATAAGCTCATTTCTTTCTACCATATTAATAAACAAATAATTATAGCATTATTTTTCCTCAATTACTCGTATTTCTGTTATAATACACACTAATTGCGTTTCATATTTTTATCTGATATTATTTATCATTTTTATTTTTATATATTTATACTTAATTTCCTTTACTTTTTATTTATTTTGTTTATACTTATATTAACTGTGCAAATTTGATAGATCGATTGTTGAACTATCTTAGTTATTAATTAACATTTGAAAATTAAAATAATTAATAAATAAAATTATAATACAATATAAATTTAAAGCATTTGCTTTAAATTTAGTACATTTATAATTTAATGTATACAGATTCGTTTCACCAGCATGGCCACTTTTGAATAATACTACCAAACCTTGACAGTATTTTGTACTTTTTTTTGTAAAATTTTGTACAATTAAAATAAAATTTTGTACACCCATCCAAACCCGAAAAAATCCGATTTTTCTATGGCTGTGTTGAAGATGCGTATCCCCAGCACGGTCATTAACCAATTATTATAAAATTAAAATTCAATTTATACAGTATTATGTACTTTTTTTTGTACAATTTTGTACAACCAAAACAACCTTCTTAAACCCGAGAAAACCCGATTTTTCTATGGTCATCACATTTTATACTGTACCTACTACCTATAATAGCCACAATGCTGTATAGTTATACCGTATTACTAAAATAATGTGACAAGTTAATAATAAATTAATAATAGGTATCAATAAACCGAGTCTTACTTTCCACAGCACTATACCTCTCTATAGTATATGGTGGACTAAATTTAAATGAAAATAATTAAAAATAGAAAAACCTCCATTTATAGTTTGTGCATGTATCATGTATTATTTGATGTTTATTTTATACTCGGTCATTTCCGATAATGCAAATGAATATTGTGTTTGACAGTCAAATAGTGTGTTCCAAACTATGAATACTAATTATAATCATAGTGTTGTTTAATTTTTATTGGATTATATAAGATAAGTAAAATGTAATTGTATCATAAGCGTAAATATTGCTTCAATGTTATATTTTAATACCAGAGTGAAAATAATAGTTGATTGTAACGAAAAATCGTATTTAATCAGTCCATTGTAACAATCTAGTGTGTGATAATTTTTTTTTTTTTTTATATTGTTCACAGAACGCGAATATTGGTACGAAGAGGCACGGGTGGCGCTGAAAAAACGGCTGGCCAGCTACGAGGGTAAAATAGGAAGGGCGAAAAACGTAGTGTTTTTGGTCGGTGACGGGATGGGCGCGTCCACATTGACCGCTTCGAGGATATTCAAGGGTCAGAGGCAGGGAAACCAAGGCGAAGAGGAGCAATTGCTTTGGGACACGTTTCCTGCTGTGGCAATGGCAAAGGTAGGATGATATGTAAATTATTTTAACGTTTTGATCAAAGCAATTCGTTTGAAAACTCGATGCAAATGTGAAATTGTGAAAACTCACCCCGGACTGTCGTGAGTTGCAGAAATTTGGGGATATATTTACGAGTCATTACAACGTACGTTGTTTTATATATATATATTTACGAAGTGTTTACTGAAATCACTTTACTGAAACCAATATCAATAATAGTGTTTAATGTGCCTACGGTGTATACAGGATAAACGTCCAGAACCAAAACTGTAAGGCACCATAGCAAATCGTAAATTTTAGTATAATAATATACTACTGGAAGCCATGCATTCACGGTACGTTCGATTTTTATATCGTTTCGATAATCAATGTCGTCTATAAATCACAATGTTTCAACAATAAATAGTATTACGTAAAACATTCTTAAAATATTTTACTATTCATAAATTTGTGTTCATATTCACATTTCGTTAACTATGAATCTATTTGTTTTGTCAATTACCATTTATTCGATTTCAGAGATGTACACATTCGATTTGAATAAGACGTGAAACTTGTACTTGTTGCATAAGTATATACTAGCTGTATAATGACCAAAAAATTGAAATGCTTATTATTTTCTATTATTGTCGTTTTTAATTTATTTACTTTGTAAAATTCAAATAAAATGACTTAAACAATTGAATAAATTCTACAAGGAATATTGTTACTAACATATTTCAGAGAATTGTTGGCTATACATATTATTTCTTAACTACAGCTAGCAATAATGATCTATAAATTAGTATAAAGATATTGCTTATAATATAAGGATATTATGCCCATACAATGTAATATCAGTTACATAGGAAAAGGAGGAAAAATAAAAAAAAAAGTAAAATTGTTTGATAAAATATATATATATATATATAATTGAAAATTGAGAAAATTACTTGTCAACTCAAAATTTTTGAATAAAAACAATTATTCGAGCAATTGTTTGAATAAACATTTTTGAAAGAACATTAATATAAATTTCGTTTGTAATGTTATATGTATATTGAATGAGAAACGATTATATTACTCTATACTGACGTATTTATGCCTACAGCTGCGAATTCGAAGAATTTATTTTTTTATTAATTATTAATAAAAATGGTTTAACTCTTAAGAAATTATGTTTTATAATTCAAATAAAATTTGTTTTGCATACTTAACTAATTAATATATATTTTATTGTAGGTAGTTAAATGATAATTCAATTAGTCTAGTATATTATTTGTTATTGAGAGGGTTAATCTTCCATAGGTCTACAAGCGGGAAACATATAAGTATGCCTTTGTTACTCTAAATTATGATTTTATATTAATTTAATTTATTTATAAACGTTTTAAAATACAAATTTGAATTCTTATGCTAAGCTTTATGTTTTTGCTCTAATGAAATAACTATTTGAAAATAATTCTTAAAATACGAAAATACTAAAAATTTTAATAATCAACAGTATGCACTTTTTTTTTTTAAATTTATCCTATTTCTAATCAAATGTCTAAAGTAATCAGTTTTAAGTTTTTAAATATCTGTGACACATAATTGAACAATTAATTTGCTGAACTGATAACTTGATTATTATAAATAATTGTTTAAATGGTAATATATTTTTGATACACTGTTTCTCATAAATTAATGTAATAAGAATGGTTTATTGAATAAATATATTCATAACAAATGAATTGGAATTATTTTTAACTTGAAAAACATAATTATACCGAAAAAATCTAAAAAGAAATAACATTAAAAATGCCATTACACTTAAGCATATTATAATTTTTTCATGAAAGTTCAAGTTTAATTAAAATGTAATAATGCCATAATTATTATATTAACATCATAATTATAGACTTTGGTATTTTATAAATTAATTTACAATATCCTTTGTTTTTATGTGCTGAAAAAATAAAAAGCCTTTTTAATAAAAACTTTTGAAACCCAATTTAAGTTGCTTTATGTAATGAAATTATTAAATATTGTTAATATAGTTTCATATTTTTTTAATGCTTGAAAACTATTTTTGGTGTTTTTTCCAAATTAAAGTCATAGTAATTTTGATTGTATAATCAACAAGAAAAAAAAACCAAAGCTTAACGATTCCTGCAAAATATTAAGATTTTATTTAATAATTAAAAGTATTGATGTACGAGAACTCTGAAAGAATACCGAATAATTAAATACTTAAAAGCAGTGGGGAAGCACGAGTATTTAAGATGGGGAGACATTAAAATATTACGTTACAGCCCCTCCCCTATTTATAACTTTATATGTATTTATGATAAAAGGGACACGGTCTTTTATTTTTTATTTCATACTTTTGTTTTATGTTTTTATTCATTAAAAAAGTTAGATTAGTTCGATTAGATAAGTTAAACAATATTCTAAATTCTTAATATTTATAATTATAGTGTATTTATTTTCCCTCTTTTTTTAAATACCTTGAATAATTTAGCTTTGGTAGCTCAGAAAAATATACTTCTTGTTAACTATTTAATTAATTAACAAGAAGCATATTTAACATATTATATATTATTATTATTATTTATTTTTTTATATATTTTTAGCATATTTATTTTTTTATGCTGACTATTTAATTAATTATCAGAGAACTATAAGGAAATAATTTCATATTAGATACAAATACGAAATTTTTAAAAATTGATTAATTTTTTTCAATTTTTAAAAAATATTATAATGATTTTCACCACATTCAACATCAAATATTTAGGTTCAGATTTAACTCTAAATATACTCGTGAACTTAGCCTTTGTAAATTAAAAACATTGTTTGAATTTTCAATTATGAAAATGGACATTATAAATAAAAATATAGAACAAATCATAAATACTTGAAGCGAAAAGGTCTTTTTTAGATAAAAATTCTGTACATATTTAATTACATTATAATTATTATGATTTATACAAAGACCAGGTCAAACTAGGTAATGAAGTCATGGTTACTATATTTGCTTTGATTTGTATATAAAGTTATAAAGAGTCACTGATATGGCTTGGAGTGTATCAATGTATATTTACATTTGCATGTAAAATGATTAAGCGGATTACGACCAAAACAGCAAAACGGTTAGGAACGAAAAAAAAATTGTATAATAATAAATTACCGAATTAGGCGAGGAGGATGAACCCGAGAGGATAGATTTGATAATTCAAGCTATAAATTTATGTTTAAGCAATATATATATATAGAAAAAAATTATCATGAACAGACGACAGAATAATGATCAAATAAGCGCATATAATATTAGAATAAAAATAACCTTTAATTGATTAATATTTAAATATATTTTTTCGCAAGAAACACAAGACCATTGACTGTATGAGACACATCACACAATAATAGTAGACTATGTTTGAACATGGCACAGGAGTGTCAGATAAAAGAATCGGTGTCGTCCTGGTTTAGATGTAATTCAAAGATAAACATAAAACCTATTTTAGGGTCATCTTAATAGGATGATGAAAATACTCAAATGAATATAGTTTGAAATGGTTAAAGTCAAAAAGGACTCTGAGTAAAACCCTATGATAAACGAAGTACAGCATACAATTAACGGATAGATCCTAACTGTAGAGCAGCTCACAGATTACTGTACTGTAAAGCATATAGAAGTCATATTAGCGCAAGAACCACCGATTGACATAGAATAGCTTTAAAAACATCAAATATAGAATAATTGTTAACGGGCTAAGTACAAGGCTATGATAAATAAAAATAATATAGAAAAACGATTTAAACGAAATAGTGATTTTTGATTCAATTATGCAAACAATTAATGAGTAGTGTTTAACTGTGGGGTGTCGCAAACATAAATTTAAAATGAAGCAAAATTGTTATAAATGTATAAAACTCATACATTGAATTGAAAAAAAAGCGATTGAAATTGAAGAATATAAATATATAAAATGATTAATATTGAATTAATACTGAACGAAACAACCTGCGGAATTCGATATATTTAAAATAGTTTACTGGTCTGTGATACCATTATTATCTTAACACACTAATTATTACTTCACCACTAATTTGTGATGCAACCAAAAGATTTTTTTTTTTTTTTTAATATTTTTATTCTGTAATATAAAAATTCCATTATATACATTATTATAATTTCTAATACAGATCTTGTCTTCGATACAAGGAACTGTCATTATTTTCAAACTGTAGTAATATATTATTAATATCGACTACTTTGGTGTTTTTATAAACTCACATAGGCGCCGAAAAAAATAAATATTTAGAACTACTGTACAAGAGTTCTTTTAAATTTGATGCATAAGCGCATTTCCTACTTGGATTAACGAAGTAACACTGTGTTGCAGTGCTGTGCGTGATGAAGCAAGTGACGGATATCGGTGTCATTACGATTGATGGCAGTTCCGGGGGCTTAAGTAGTAGTCACGTTTAACGAATGTATTCAACGGATATTAACGAATACTAACTTCCCCACCCCGTCACTTGATGATCAGCTGATTAAATGTAAAATAAATTAAGAGCCACGTTCGGGCGGGAGATTAGCGAACATTCGTGTCGTTCGAGAATACGGTGCGAGAAAAACTGACAAAAAGACTCACTCTATTGGGCGACATCTTAATAAATAGTAGAGTGTTTCCTAATCATTGCCGATAGAATAGATTGAAGCATGGTTAAAAATATACAGGTTAGCTGTCGCTGACCCGCCACTCGGTCAGATTGTGTTACCATTCAGTAGTTCATATTTTACTATTAAAACATCGTAGCATCGGTACATTCCTAGTTGCTACATAATAGAATATTAAAATTTATACGATCATAAATTTAATATAACTTATAAGTAAAAAATATATTTATTCTAATATTAATATTACATTATTAATTATTTATTATTATAAGCTATTATAAAATGTATTATACAAAAGAAATAGGCCACAACGTACTTACTGTTATTGTGCATCCATTTTATCTGAAACAAAAAT